TGTGTGTGTGTGTGTGTGTGTGTGTGTGTGTGTGTGTGTGTGTGTGTGTGTGTGTGTGTGTGTGTGTGTGTGCGTGCCTTGTATAGTTTAAAAGTCTGTATCCAACAGCAGCTCCAACTGGCTCTGGTAAGCCTCATTTCAGTCCCAGTGGCTTCTTGAAGGCCAGCTTGTCAGCAGCGTGGGCGTCCTCGTACGCTTTAAACACTCAGAGTTTGTTCGCTGAACGTTCAGCAGAACACGTCGGTGTCAGCGTGTGGAGGAGAACACACAGACTGCTCCAAACTACCTGAAGAACTTGTTGTCCAGGAGTTTTCCTGGCTTCTTCAGGTGGAAAGTTTCAGACGTTTGCTCTTCAGATCATAGAGGTGGTTTGGTGTTTGGACTAGACATTTTTCCACTTGTTGGACCTGAAACAACAGCTGCAGGATCGTAGGCGAGAAGGAACAAGATAATAATGTTTTCTAACATCAGGGTGTTGGTGTGCTGCATGTGATTGGCTGCATGGCTTCATTACATCATTCAGGAACATGTGGTTTAGTTTCCTGCCGGTCATTTCAAAAGGAGTGAGTTTAAAATCAGCCGTGTTGCTGTTAGGTTAGTTCAAACGTTCAAACTAAAGATAAATAGTTTAGATTTGTCACTAATACTGGACTAAACTGGGCTCTTGTGTTTGCAGTCTGGATGGTATTTCAGCTGTGTGATGCAGATCTGTGCTTTAAACGCTGAGGGTGAGTCTGTAGATAATTAGCACCACGCTCCTGAAGCTTAGATCCAGTCTTCTAGCTACTTTTCTGTGAGGCTTTGTGTTTACCTCGACCAAGCTTTATTTCTGTTGCTACTGCTTTATCCCGAAACGCTGAATTAAAGGTGTAGTCCAGTTTAATGGTAACTTATCAGCCAAGAGGAAGAGTGTGAAAAAAATGCTGCATTAGCTAAATGTTAAAGCTCGACACTGTAKTGTGACTAACTGAAGTGTTCTCCAYGGCTGATAAGGTACTGACTGTTAGAGAAACATCCCTTTGACTCCCACAGAAACACTTTTAGCCGTCTTCATATCTTCAAGCTCCTGGGATGTTGTGGACTAACTGTGACTGCTGAAGACGCATGTTTACCACGGAGAGAACGTCAGGGTCATCCCTACAGTAAACCCTCCATCCAAACAGGTGCTGATGTTTGTCGGACCAAAACCCAGACAGAATCTGAAGCAGTTTTTGTGTCCTTGAGTGATAAATAGTTCGAAGGTGGCAAATCTCACAGGATTTTCTCTAAACAAGCACCCTTTATTTGTCTTTCCTCTGTGGAAAACATAAAATCTGGGCTGCAAACAGAAACATTTGTGCAACAGATGGACATCTGTCCGTCTAATTTATCACTCAAACAAAAACTGCATCTAATCCTTGATGAGGACCCAAACGTCTTTAAATCCAAGCATGAGGTGGGAAACCTCTGCCAAACCCTTTAAATCTAATAAACTATTTCTTTTATATCAGGAGGCTTCCTTTTTGTTCAGCTACATTAATATAGATGAGCTGCCAGGCAGGAAAAAACTAACCCTTCAAAATAAAAGTCCTGTGAAACAAAGGAATCTCAAGTGGCCTCAGATATATTTTAAATAACCCTTTGAAATGACTGAGCACCACTTGACCTTTTAACCCCAGCTCCAGCATGGTGTGCAGTTTGAGTCACCGCCCTGACCCCGTCCCCCACTTCGCCCCACCCACAGGTCATTTTGGATCTCCCAGTGTCACGGCGCGGCCCACATCAGCAGCCAAACCCTGCACAGAACCGAAGACACGTGAGTGAGACACATGAGGGACGAATTTACAGGCAGAACCGTTTAAATCTCATTATGGATGCYAGGAAATCTCTGAACTCACCAGGAAATAGTCACCCCCCTCTCTATCAGTTTAAACTAACGAGATGAGGTTTAGCTTTAGAAGAATCTCATCGTTCATGTCTTTCTGGGGGAAAAAAACTAATTTGTGACATATTAAATGTCCTTAATTGACAGCTAGTTAATCCGGTTAACTATTTTGAAATTCAAAAAATATGCTAAAAAAATTTGAAATTTTGTTGCTTCAAAAT